GCCTTGCACATGTTGTGATACAGGAATCCCAATACTGCTGAGCCCCAACTCCACCGTCATGCTTCACCGAGTGGTCCATGCAACAACTCTAAAAAGTACAATTTTATTTTGTTCTCAGTAGTGGAGGGGAACAATATCCCACCTACTAGTTGCCAAATGAGTACCCTCGTGTATGTGATGAGTTCCTCATTTGTGTTGTGTTGATGTACTGATCGGCTTAAACTTGCAAGTGTACAAGTGCCAATGTAGTAATAAAATCCGGTAAAAATACCGGGGCGAACACGAGGAAACGTTGTTTATAAGATTCAAAATCGGGAAGAGTTTTAGTAAAAGACTTAGCAAAAGAGTAGAGATTTTTTGTTGTTTTCAAAAGATAATAAAAGCAACCAAGGGTTCGGGATTACTCCTAAACGATTCCTAGTAATGAATATATGTTCTTTCACCAATTCTTATGAGTGGAATGTCACTAAAGTATTATAACTCCTGTTACGGCAGCGAGATTGTGATTAATTCTACGTGTGAATCCCGTCACGGTTCACATTCATCTAAAATTAACCCCATTGAAGATTAGGACATTATAAAATCCACCATATTCAATTGAGGTATATTTCTATCCACAATTAGAATATGTCTAACCTTTAAGTGCACGGTTTATAACTCAACGTTAATTGCTCAAATAAACCCAACGATATAATCATACGTTGTACACCGTAGTCATACACATTAAAATATAAAGGAAAGATAATAATAATTTGGTTGAGAACATACATCAAACACCTAGAGTGCGTAAAGTTTCATCCCTAACCTTGGCTATGGAAAATTAGCTAGAACAATTCATAATGAAATTACAAGTATTGAAATGATAAAATACAATGAAATACATAAGAAAGTAGTACCACAACTCCAAAGCTATGGTGGACAATGGAATCCCCAAGTGTAGAACTTCTCCCAAGACCGAGGGGTTGATCTTGGAATGCTAAAATGGAAGTAAAGTGTATGGAATATGGAATAGTCTCTTGAGAGGGCTTCAATATGCTTAAATATTGAGTCTTCAACGGCCATTTTTAGACAAGGAAGCAAGCTCCTTAATGAGGTTTGGAGTTTCTCTCCCGAATGATTGTGATGATCGTTGCTTGTTTTAATCTGTTCCAGACGAAAGGCGGGTGACATTCGCAAAATCCGGGCAGCTTTCACGCATTTAAAATAATCTTCTTCGCTCCAAGGGTCGAAAGCCGGGCGGCTTCTGCCAAAAGCCAGGCGGCTTTTGGCTCGAATTAATGTTTTAATTCTACGGCGCCCAAGGACGGGCGCCTTTCATGAAAGCCGGGCGGATTTCGTCTTTTCTTGCTCCAAACGCCCTTTTCTTCTCTTTGGACGTGGAAAATGGGTTTGGGGGTAAAAGTCGGCCGACTTTTATAATAGACGGGCGCCTTTCGCTTGCCTTGTGCATTTTAGTAGACTTTGTTTGCTTCTCGGGATGCGTTTGGTTGACCTTTTTCCGTCGGTTTCTTCGTGTGTATTCTACCATCCTTGTATATGATCCAATCATCGATTTAAAGTACTTCTAGCAAAACGAGGCATATGTGTGAAGATTTAATTGTTTTAAGTATAAAAACATTTATAAACGATCATATAAAACACGTTAATAGAACGCTTATCATGTACTGGCCAACGTTGTATGGCATTCATTCTTATTACAGATGTGTTTAAGTCATTGTTGTTTGGCGTGAAACCGGCGGAGTCCATGCACATCTGCATCCAAAGTGCCTTTGAATTCGTCCTAAGTCCGGACAGTGGTTCTCCGTTGACGGGCAACCCCAACAATACTTCTATATCCTGTAAGGTGATGCCCACCTCACCAAAAGGCAAATGAAAAACGTGTGTCTCGGGTCTCCGTCTCTCAACCAACGCCGTAATAAGCGACCAGTCTAACTGCAACCTTCCGATGCCGTCGACGCCATAAAATCTGGAGGCCTTCAGCAATGCTACCACTCCTGGATGATGTGGTCCGTCTTTGTACACCATTGAACAATATATATTACATCTCAACTTCTCATCCAAGGATGTAGCACCATTCCAAATAAGGTCCGCGCGATGTGCGTAATGTGACATCACCAGCACAGACCGATCAACCGGGTCCATAAGTGGTATTTGTGCAGCCATTCGTATCTCAACTAACAACAAAAATCATATATTAGTGTTATATACTTCCTCCGTTCTTTAAAAGTTGCAACATTAGAATTTCTACACTATTCAAAGACCTTACTTTGACTACGATTTTCTAATAGTATATATAATCAAATTATGTATAAAATGTTACTAATTTCTATTAATGCAAATTTCCAAAATATTAACTTTTTTTAATTTTTACTAATACATAATTAAATATAATTACAGCCAAAGTTGTGCGTTGACAAACTTGAAAGTCAAACTGTTGCAACTTTTAAAGAACGGAGGATAGTATATGTGTGTATGTCTATTATAATGACATATATATGAAATTATAAATTACATATAAATTTTCAATGAAACTATCTCAGTGTTAAGTATTACATTATAATATATGTACAATTGATATTGGGCTTATCCACTGAACAATATTACCACCATGCCAAAAACTATAAAAGGACTAGTTCTAGACGAGGTTGTGAAAATTGTACGAGTGTAGTGCAATTATAATATATGTACCGATACAAATTTTAGACTTGCCACTGAGTAATATTATCATTGTGCCAGAAACTAGAAAAGGACAAGTTCTAATCATAACATTTGCCAGAAACTAGAAAAGGACTAGTTCTAGACGAGCTTGTGAAAATCGTACCAATATAGGGCAATTATAATTTATGTTTGCTTTTATGGTCCAATTATAATACATGTTATGAACTAAATTGTATTATAGTGTTATTTGAAAATAAATAATGATGACTAAACTAAAATGTTCAACTAACTTAACTAAATTTAAATTTGTAATAGCAACGTAGTCTCAAATTACCATATACACTAATTTATTATGTAATATATTAGTAACAAATATTAGTGAAGCAATAATTAGAGTAATTGAAAAATAGTAAACGTGCTTACATTATCAACATAAATTAACTACTATTAAGGAAACAGTACAAATAATTATAAGTTGTGGGCTAATTATTTCTATTGTTATTTATTTAGTATGACATATATCAACTATCTTAATAGCAATTAAGATTAATTACATATTAATATTAACATTTTCGAAATATTCAGACTGACATAGCACAATCAGTCCAAAAAATTAATCGTAAAGAGTAAAGATATAATTAAAATTCTAACCTTTATTTCAAGAACTCGGAGAATAGAATTAGCAAGAACATTCAATAATTTTTTCTAACTGAATTTATTTTTATGGTAGTAGGCTGAATATGATATTGAAGAGATTTAAATAGGTTAAGTTTGAGGTTCGGAGTATGGATTTCCATGCAAAACAGTGGAAGGTTGGGATAAGTTTTGTACATCCTACGGTTGAATTGTGGACTGAAGAAGCACGATCCGGATGGAGTTGTTCTGACCAATCCGGGAGCTTTGATTTTTCGGATTAGCCATATCCGAACTGCAAAAGACTGACATGCATGCTGCTTAGCTTCTGACACATGCGGTTAGTTGACATATTTTCAAATTGGAAAATCAGATTAGGATAATCTGAATTTTCCTTCTACCAATTAAATCACAATTTCGGATTACACGAATCCGACTTTCTCTTCTGACAATTCCCTCTCATACTTTTCGTCGAAGCTGAGGAATTCACAAAAAAAAAACTAGAAAAGTCGGATTACCCAAACCCGTTTCCCGTAAATTCATACCCTAACTCTGATATTCGTATTTTGGGAATGGATGCATGAAAGTCCCGTAAATCCATCCTTTTCTCCATTCTTGACATGTTTTTATACATGGCATTAGAAGGAACAAATTATTATGGAATACAAATTGATCAGACATTTTCCAGACCACACCAATTTAGACCAGATCAGATCACACCAAACTTAAGCGGAATAGACCAATTAAAAACATTCTACATTAGAAAACTCCCAATAAAAAACAATTTATGCAAGACTCAAGCAATCTACGTATCTCCAAATAATAGTTTGGATGAGTATTTATTTCTTCATCAGAAAACTTCCATTAAAATTATGGGTAGGATTGATTCCTAAAAAGAAGTCAAACATAATATATTAATGGACAAAAATAAAAATTCATACGTGATGCACATAGAAGGAATACTAGAAGGCAATAGTTAATATATATAGGGGAACCAATATATTTTAGAGTGAATAAAATCTTCTCTATTCATTATTGAGAATTTATGCAGAGGAAAATTACTATATATAAGCAAATAAATTACTGATCTCCTAATTTAGTGATAGTCCTTTATTTATTTATATATGTAAATACCCTAATTTACCAAATAAATTCCGATCATTATTTGCTTTTTATTAGATGATTATGGATTATTTACTGTCTTAGGATGAATTACTATTTCATTTATTTTATATGATTATTAAATGATGTAATAACTAACAAAAAGTATTGAACCTAATTATTACAAATGAAAATAAAAACTCAAATGAATAAATTCAAAATTAATATCAATCTAAGTGGAAAGTAAAAATGAGGAAAATCCAAATTTGATTCCTTATCTCAATAGTTACTTATATTTGCCATCGCTTTCTTGAAATAACTTTAAAAAATTTCAATGCACATTATAGAATTGAAAGATATTTTATACATATGGATGAATGTTAAGATAACTCCTCTTAATTGAAGATTCCTACACATGTGTACATCTCTTTTAAAATAATACGTACTACACTATATTTTATTTATATGTCTAATTTGTTTAATTTAATTTCTCTGCTTTAAATTTAAAAGGTGGCGTGGATGAAGAGACTTACCAAATCTACAATTATATTGGGCAAGCAAACACAATCAGACCAAACACCAACTCTCGAGGATAATGACAACGATCAGGCACCCGCACCTCACAGTAAGAATTCTTTATTTGTTTAAATTATTATGATTAATAACGTCAAAAAACATATTTGATATCTATTATTTAGTTTTAATTCTCTACTCCATATGTAATTCTAATTGTTTATTCACTGTAGATTGTCCTGGAATTTATACAATCCGTAGTCCTTTTGAAAGTATTTTTTACATCAAGTGACACTGAACAACATGGTGTCCCGATTGTTCCTCTTCGTCGTCGCAACAGACGTATAATAGATGAAGGGTTACATGGGAACACAAGTGATCCTAATCCTCAGCCGGGTATCCCAAGTTAAAATTTATGAAAGAATATTTGATATTAGTTATATAGTTTTAATTTTTTTACTCCATATGTAATTGTAATTGTTTAGATCGTCCTGTAATTTATACAAACGGGTATCCTATTGAAAGTATTCTTATGTCAAGTGACACTCAACACCATGTTGTGCCGATTGTTCCTTTTCGTCGTGGCAACAGACGTATAATTGACGAAGGCTTGTATGGGAACACAATTGATCCCAATCCTCATCCAGGTATCCCAAGATAAAATTTATGAATATATGTTTGATATCTATTATTTAGTGTTAATTCTCTACTCCATATGTAATTCTAATTGTTTATTCACTGTAGATTGTCCTGGAATTTATACAATCCGTAGTCCTTTTGAAAGTATTTTTTACATCAAGTGACACTGAACAACATGGTGTCCCGATTGTTCCTTTTCGTCGTGGCAAGAGACATATAATTGATGAAGGGTTATATGGGAACACAAGTGATCCCAATCCTCAGCCAGGTATCCCAAGATAAAATTTATGAATATATATTTGATATACATTATTTAATTGTAATTTTTACTCCATATGTAACTGTAATTGTTTACTCACTATAGATCGTCCTGTAATTTATACAAATCGGAATCATGTTGAAAGTATTCTTACGTCAAGTGACACTCAACACCATGTTATCCCGATTGTTCCCCTTCATTGTGGCAACAGTCGTATAATTGATGAAGGGTTACATGGGAACACGGTTGATCCCAGTCCTCAGTCGGGTATCCCAAGTTAAAATTGATTAATTTTTATACATGTAATATTTTAGGGAAATAATAAGTAAATTTAATATATTAATAAAAGTAAATTTATAATTAATTTTTATATTGTTCCTTGTGCATTAGACATTAATTTTTTTGCTGAAAGATATTTGTTTTAGTTTTTCTTATACATATTGTGTGTTGGATAGTGTTTCTTGTGCATTAGATATTAGTGGTTGTGTGTTAGATACATATTATTCTACATGCGTAGCTGAAGATAATGTTTGTTGTGGTTTATTGTATACATATTATACATTTTTTTTAAAAATCTATATGTCATATTGATCTCATTTGAAAGATCATAAAAAGTTATTTAATTTGATACAATTTTTGTTAAACTCAAATTATAATTTAAAAAGTTAAATCAATTTTAAAACTAAAACATTTTATATGATTTGACATTTAATCTCTTCCTAATTTTTTGGTAGGTGATACCTTCAACCAATACTACATTAAATGATTTTTGAAAGGTTGACAATTTTATCGTGTGCACAAGCCACACATGGTTATTTTAGTTTGCTAAATGTGTTTCTATGTTACGCAACGTAGGAACTAGCTGTACACCTACTCATTAATCAACCGTCTTATATATAGGGAGTGGTTCTTATATATATATATATATATATATATATATATATATATATACATTTATATATTATGAGTTGTTCAGTGTTCGGTTTACGGTTTTTCGGTTGTAAACCAAACCAAACCAAACCATTCGATTTGAGAAAATTGTTACCAAACGGTTTACTTAAGTAAAACCAAACCAAACAAAACCACCAATTTTCGGTTCGATTCAGTCAAATCAAACCATTTTGCCTGACCCTAATTGAAAGCTGTAGTTCAGGCTATGCTCACTTACGTTATGAATGTCTTTTTATTGCCTATTGAGTTATGTAAGGAGATTGAAATTAGAGAAATTTTTTATTAACCCCTTCTGATTTGATCCTAATTATTGGTACAACCTTGTAATTTTAGAATGCAACTATATATCCCTTGGACTTTGATTCTATTTGTTGTTTCCCCTTTCCCTCAAAACCCTATTAAAAAATAAACGACTCAATTAGAAACGCCGTTAAATAGGCATTGTTTTGATTAATATACCCTTAATTAGGGACTGCTTGCTCCATATTCGTCTACGTACTTTTCTACTACGTATATCTTTGTCGTTTCAACTCTTCAGAACCGCAGAGGCACATACGGACTTCTTCTTCATCGCTAGAGTTCTAGCAATTTTGATCCTTTGTCCCTTCATATTTCAACTATATGGATTTTCAAGTGACACAAGATGCAGAAACTATAGGTTTTGATTCATTGGATGTAGAGTTCCTCAGAATGCCTATTGTGAGTGCAGGGTGTACATCCGAATGGATACAAGGTATTCCCTTTCTTGTTGAACATTTGAGGAATGGTAGGGGTGGAAGTGATCAAACTAGTAGGAGTACCGACACAGTTCAACTGATAGATAATAGAGAAAATCGTCAAAATGGGAGTAAAACAGGAGGTAATTGCAAAACTAGGACTCATTGTTTTAAATTCTCTAAATAGGAGTAAATATTTGCATTTGGACGGAAATAGCCTCCGATGCTGTAACATTGCGCAGACGTTGCCATCTTCTGCAATTCATCGCAAACATCTCTTCCTCCCATGAATCTGAGCTCGTCATCGACTCTGGCCTCCCATCGCATAGGCAGCCAGGTAAGTCCTCTGCTTCTTCATCTTCCTCTTCTTCTTCAAATTTATGGTCTTCTTATTTTTTGCTTCTTCTTCTTCATCTTCTAATCCTCTTCAATTTTCTAGTCCCCTATTCCCTTCTTCTTTTTCTTCTTTGGATTTGAATTTTATTTACTAATTTGGATTTTTTGGATTTGAATTTTACTTCATAAGCAAAATGTCACTTTTATAATCTGAGAATGTCAAAAGTCTTACTAGTATTTGAAAAAATTGTCATGTTTGTAGCAGTACATTTATCAGGATGACAATCTGAAAATGACATATGTTCATAAAATAATGTCATTATCTTGTCATTTATTCATATCAAGTGGCATTCTCATCGGAGGCTGCACAAACTTGAATGACATAAAAGTGTCATTTTTTAAAAAATAACCAGTAAATATGACATTCTTGATTAAAAAATGACACACTCTTCAGAATCATTACTCAGGGCATTTTGAGATTGAAATATATCAAAATTGATAAGAAGAAATTCTAGTTAAGTATATCTTCATTGGAAACTTTCACATTCATGCAATATTTTTTCAAATTTGATTGATAATTTTTTTTTAAAAAAGAAAGCAAAGAATCAGGAACAAGGCTACAAGAAGAAGATGAAGATCAGAAGAATTAGATGAAGAAAAAGAAGAAGAGGAGGAAGAAAAGAAAGAAGAGTACCTGGGAGAGAAAAGAGCAGATGACGCCGATGAAGTCGTTGATGATGGAGATCGAAGTTGCGATCGGCCAAAGGGAAAGTGGCAGGGGAGAAGTCTGGCGGTTGATGGAGAGTCGATCGATTATTTTTAGAAGAAGGGTAATAAGGTAATCTGGAGTCCTATTTGTGAAATATAAAATTTGTAATCCTACTTTGGAGTTTTAACCATGTTTTAGTCCTATTTAGGATAAAAACTTTAGATAATAATGTTAGAGGTAGCGACAAAGAATTGGGGACTGTTAAAGTTTTCAAACTTTTCCCTAAGTTTTAGCAGACTTGACAGAGATGGTCGAGTTATGGTGACGGAACTGGTCTTGGCAGCGGATAGGTTCTCTGTTCGGGTATCCTCAGAAAAACACTAAGGCAAATGCCTTTCTGTTAACTCACAAGGGAAATCTGCTGAGCACAGAGTCAAGACCTTTTGAGTTGAACAGTTACAATCTTAAAGCAGTAAAATAAAGTGCATAAAGTAAATGACACCGGGAATTTTTATAGTGGTTCAAGGAACAACGTGTTCCTCTAGTCCACTGTTCCACTAAGCTTGTAAAGACAACAGTTACAACGCCTTAGTCCTAGCACTTAAGAAACTCTCCTCGTCTTCTTCAAGTCTAGTTGTCACCCGAGATGCTCTTCCTAGCTTCCTGATGGCTGGTCTCGTTTCACTGAGTATCCTCGAAGTATCACCACTTCACCACTCTAGTTACTTTGAGACGTCCCTTCTTTTGCAAGAAGTGTTTCGGTTAAGAACGATTTCTCCAATGTAGCTTCGTCACAAGAGATGTGTAGTTGAGGCTTTAGAAGTGTTGAAGAACTGGAGGAACGATTCTCTCGCGTTGGAAAGAAAAGATATGGAGTTTATATTCTTTTCCAACATAAACTTTGTTTCAAAAAGTGAACACATCACAAACAACATGACTGAATCTTTAATAGCTGGTTTGACAAATTGAGGGGTCTGCCTATTGTTCAACTTTTTGATGGTTTTAGGCAGAAATGCATGTATCGTTTACATAAAGGCCTTGTTTGGTTCAAAGGAGGGGAGGGAAGGGGAGAGTCAAGGAGGGAAGGGAAGGGGAAGGAAGGATTTTGATAAAAAATTATGTTTGGTTGGAGGAAATAGGAGGAAAGGTTTAATGAAAATATTTTTGCAATTTACTTTTATTTGATAGCTTACTTAAAAAAATAGATACATGTCTAACTATTGTGAATATTATTCCTATGGTCATGAGTTTATTTGATTGTTTACTTTTTAAATTTTATAATTTTCATTTTTCAGTTTGGAATTTTTAATTTTTAATTTTTATTTTTAAAATTTTATTATTTTTAATTTTTTAAAATCTTTAATTTATAATTTTTAAATTTTTAAATTTTTAAAATTTTTAACTTTTTAATTTTTAAATTTTTTAATCTAATTTTTTTTAATTTTTTAATTTTTCAAAACTTTTTGTTTTTCACTTTTTTATATTATAACGTTTTGTTCATTCACGTAGGAAATGAATAGTTTGTGGTTATCAACACGTTTCCTCCGAAATACCCTGATTTGGGGGGTTTAGAATGGGAGGAAGTAGAAGATTTTGAAAGTCTTCCACTTTCCTCTCCTTCCCCCCTATTTCCTTAAAAAAAACACAAATTCCCCACTTTCCTCCCCTCCCCTCCGAAACCCTCCAACCAAACAGGGCCAAAAGGTATGGTAAAGGATGTTCAATGGAGGGTAAAATCACACCTGAAACTAGGAAAGTTCTTAATAGAATCGTTACTTGTAGTAGATTCTGTAGATTGACTCCAAAGGGAGAAATGATGAGTTTGAAGTAAAAGAAGGCAAAGCAACATTTGCAGTAAAGTTAGCAACCAAGAAATGTAGTTGCAAATGGTGGGACATTTCTGACATTCCCTGTAAACATGCTGCATTATGCATTGGATATAAGAGGGAAAACATAGAAGAATACTGTGATGAATACTCTTCAGTTAAGCAATAATCCGGTTCTAAAATTACAAGGTTTATTTAATAATTATGACCTAATCTTAAGGGGCTAATCTTTATCTTCTCTTGAAATTATTATGAATGGCTTTTGGTGGAAAGGGAAGTTGGGGTCTGGGATCCGTTGAAAGGATTGGACTTCTCTTAGCAAATCAAAAAGCTGCGGTGGCCTCACGTTTAGGAGGCTTCGAGAATTTAACTTAGCTATGTTAGCTAAACAAGCTTGGCGTATTTTTAATTATCCCGACTCTCTTGTTGGTAAAGTCTACAGGGCACGCTATTTTGCTAAGGGTGATTTTTTGTCAGCCAGTATTGGGAATAACCCCTCATTTATCTGGAGGAGCATTTTTCAGACTCTAGGTCTAATTCAAAATGGCTTCAAGTGGGGAGTGGGGAAGGGAAAATCAATTAATATTTGGGATAATCCAAAGGTCACTACGGCATCGGTTACAGGCCTTGAAGAAGCTACTATAGCAACACTACTGGTTGATTCGGGCAAAGCTTGGGACACTGATTTACCCACAGACATCTTCTAAAGCCGCGATGTCTCACTCATTCGGAGTGTTCCTATTAGTCTGCGACAGGTATCTGATGCGAGGCAGTGGAGATGGGAGGAGGACAAACACTTTTCCGTTCAGAGCTGTTACAGGAAGCTAGTCTGGGAGCTCGATTCATCGAACTGGATGGGCTGGACTTCAATGTGGTCTTGGAATATTCCTCCTAAACTAAAAATCTTTTTTTGGCAGGTTTGCAATGGGTGTTTACCTACGAAGGATCTCCTCCGACCAAGACGTGTGAACTGCCCAGGGAATTCCTGGCATGCTCTGTTGCAAAGGAGGCGTGGGCGGCGATTTTCTGGAGCTGGACTGGGAATGGAGCATCCAATTTTATGAAGCAAGTGCGAATGGAATTCCAAGCTAGAAGAAGGGAGGAGCTCGAGAAACTGATTTGGGGCTGTTGGGCTCTATGGTGCGAACGAAATCAACAGCTGTGGCAGAAATCCTTCTCGAGTACAGGCCAATTTATGATGAAAGCTCAAACCTTTGTCCTAGGTTGGTCTCAAGCTCAGCTTGCACGCATGTATGGGAAGAGGGATAATCATCGGTCAGATTCTTCCTGGAGAAGACCAGCGGGTGGGAGGCTTAAACCGAATGTTGATGCTACGGTGAAGGCTGAAAAATGTGGGTTTGGGTGGTGTCTTCGTGATGAAGATGGTAGCTTTGTGGCGGGGGCGACGAAACCTTGGCTGGGGCGACTTTCCCCTCTGGATGCAGAATTAATTGGTATTAGGGAGGTTTTGAGCTGGTTACAGGAGACAGATTGAAGAAGGGTTGATGTGGAATCAGATGCAGCCCGCACTATTTCGGAGATTTTAAACGGTTCTAGTTGTTCCTCCTATGGTTTGGTAGCTGATGATAAGAGTTATAGCGAAAAGTTTTTTCTAGAATTTCTTTCTCTCATATTAGGCGATCAACGAATAAGACAACTCATACGATTGTTAGGGCGTTGATTGTTCTCTGTCTGATTTGCGGTCTTGATTTTTTGAGTACCCGCTTTTTATTTCCCCAGTTCTGAACAATGATATAATTAATGAAAGCTAGATTTTTCCTTTGTAAAAAAAGAAAAAAAAAACAGTAATCTAAAATTAAATGCATTGTGTATTTGTGTACTAGCTAGACTAGAAGATCAAAATTGGCCGAATATCACATACTCCGTACTATTTTGGCCAAACCATAGCAGCGGTCTAGAGATCATCACTCACCTCTCGAAGTCAGTAAGTATATGGTGCATCCGGGTGTATGTATACCCAGTTCAAATAAGAAAGACAGACCAACAATCAATACAACTCAAAAAAAATTCGGTGACATTTTTGTAATATAAGTGAAAAATTACGGTTTCCGTTAAATGAGCAATAATGTATATTTAGTGAGCATCTGACATATTTTATTGAGTATTTAGAGGCTAACAATGAGTATCATGATTTGTGCTTCATATCTTCTAATTCATTTTTTATTCTTTTTTTTTCTTTTATAAAAACTAATTGAATTATATCTATAATACACTTCTATGAATTTCCATACGCGAATTTAATGCAATATGATACTTTTAAAATATGCATTATATAACATTTTAAAATGAGCATAACATTAGTACCAAATGAGTATACGTAACTTATAAAATGTTTATTGATAAAAACGCATTTTTGTGTGTTCATTCATTTTGGACGTTATACTCATTTTAATTTAACATAAAACTTATTTTAGCACCAGGCGTGGTCTACATTGGCGGGTGAACTTCATTTGACGGCACAACATGTATCAAAACAGCATGATGATGGTGGGGGCATCGGATGAATATTTGTGCCGCTAGTTCCTCTCCACCTTAGAGGGGCCGGCTTACGAATGGTTCAACCGATTGCCCGAGGGCTGCATTGACTCATGGCAAGAACTCGCCCAGCGATTCTTGACGCAATTTGCGGGAAGGCGCCGCACAAGAAAACACTTCTCCCACTTGCTAACAGTGAGGCAGAAGAAGGAGGAGACCCTTCGGGACTTCCTGGAGCGCTGGAGGACGGAGGCCGATAAAGTTGATGGTGCTGACGACGGGACCCTCCTGGCCCTCCTACAAACAATACTCCGCCCCGGGAACTTCTCAAGAAGCCTCATCATCGACCCCCCCCCCCCCCCCCCCCCGCGCGATTATATAAGGGTCCTACAGCGGGGGGACCGGTACGCCGAAGCCGAGGAGGTGGAAAAATGCCACCACGTCCCAGATCAGCAACGCCCTCGGCCAGACGACAAAGGTAACCGGGGGCCGGGGGCTCCCCGCAATCATCCCAAGGATTCTGCCCCCTCCGGTGATCGCCCCCGGCATGGCCAAGCCAAGCCCGGGGGAGGCTACAAGGGGAATCCGAGGGCTTGGGCACAGCCTGTCCTCTTGGAGCACCCTCGGACACCTTTGACGCACCCCGTCAGCGTCATTCTGGATTTTGCTGAGGAGAGGGGCCTAGTGGAGCGAGATTCACGCGCACCCCCGGAGGTATTTGCCATCAATCCCAACTACCCCTACTGTCGTTTCCACCGGCACCAGGGGCACAGGACCGATGATTGCCATCAGCTGAAGACGGCCATCGAAAGATTGATACAAGCGGGCCATCTGTCCCAGTTTATCCAGGGCCCTCAGCAACAGGGCCCCCCTCATCAGGGGCCACCCCGAGGGCAAACTGCGAGAGCAAACGCATGGGTCAACCCCAACACCACCCCCCTCGGCAAAAAGAGGGAGATTGGGAACCTGGAAGAAGAGGAGGAGGAGTACCCCCGGTACCAAGAGAAGAAGCGCCACATCCTCATGATCACGGGGGGCAATACCGGAGGTGATTCTACTAGTCAACGAAAGAAGTGGGCTCAATCACTTTACGTGGGGGAAGTCACTCATATGCCCCCAGTAAAGCGGCTGAGGGAGGAACCCATTATCTTCACCAACGCTGATCTCCCCCCAGTATCCTCCCCCCACAGGGATGCCCTCGTCATCCGCACCGAGATCAACGACACTATTATTCACAGAACTTACATTGACACGGGCAGCTCCGTCAATGTAATGTACCTCAGGACCTTCAGAGAGCTGCATCTGGAGAGGGGGTCCCTTCGGCCCATCAAGACCCCTCTTGCCGGCTTCACCGGCGACACCATTGATTCCGAGGGGGTTATAACCCTCCCGGTACTATTCGGCGACAGGCTCCATAGGGCCAAGCTCGAGGTGGAGTTCGTCGTCGTCAACATCGACTGCGCCCACAACATCATCCTCGGCCGGCCAGCCCTCGAGGATCTCGAAGCCGTCATCTCCATGAGGCACCTCTGCCTCAAGTACCCAGCCGAGGGGGGAATAGGTTACTCAAGGGGAAACCAAAAACTTGCTCGCGCTTGCTACCTCCAAGTAACAAAAAAGGTTAGCAAGACGGAGTTCCGCGTTGACACCATCACTGGAACTGTGGAAGCGGAAGAAAGGAGGCCGAGGACTGAACCAGCCGAAGAGGTAGAAGACTTCGCGCTCGATCCGGCCAAGCCGGAGAGTGGTGAAGATTGGAGCCAAGCTCCCCGAAGACCTGAAGACCGGCATCATCAGCGCCCTCCGCGCCTACTCCATTGTTTTTACATGGGGGCCGGAGGACATGCCGGGGATCAGCTGAAGGGTCATCACCAACCGCCTCTCAGTGGACCCTTCGTCCAAACCAGTACAACAGCGGAGGAGACCCCTCTCGGCCGAGAGGAGGGAATTTGTGAAGAAGGAGGTCGCCATGCTCCTCTCTATCAAGCACATCAAGGAGGTGAAGTACCCCTCATGGCTGGCAAACGTAGTCCTCGCACAGAAACCACCCTCATTCCGCATGTGCGTGGACTACACGGATCTCAACAAGGCGTGTCCCATGGACCCCTTTCCTTTGCCAAATATTGATCAACTTGTGGATGAAACCGTGGGGTGTGAAATCATGTCATTCCTCGACGCATTCCGCGGATATCATCAAATATACATGCATGAGGAAGACGCTGAAAAAACAGCCTTCATGACTCCCGATGACATCTTCTGCTACCTCGTCATGGCCTTCGGCCTAAAGAACTCAGGTGCCACCTACACTCGGATGGTGGCCAGAGTATTCCAAGTTGTCCTGAGGCGCACCATGGAGGCTTATGTTGATGACATGATCGTCAAAAGCAAGCAATCAGCAAGCCATGCTGATGACCTGAGGGAGATCTTCGCCATCATGCAGAAGTTTAGCCTTCGGCTGAACCCAAAGAAGTGTACCTTTGGCGTTCAGGGGGGCAAATTCTTGGGCTACATGGTGAGCCGAAGGGGTATCGAGGCCAACCCTGAGAAAATCCAGGCCATCATCAACATGGAGCCCCCACGCAACGTAAAGGAGGTCCAACGATTGACGGGCCGCCTGGCAGCCCTCAATCGCTTCTTATCAAAATCGGCGGAGAAGTCCTTACCCTTCTTCCAGATCATGAGGAAAACCGTCGGTTTCCAGTGGACTTCAGAGTGTCAAGGGGCTTTCGAGGAACTGAAATGGTACTTATCTTCATCCCCTGTGCTCTCTAAACCCAAGGTGGGGGAAATCTTGTACCTTTACTTGGGTGTCATCCCGGCTGCCATCAGCTCTGTACTCATCCGGGAAGAGGATGGTATCCAGCATGCCATTTTCTATGTTAGCAAAACCCTCAGGGAAGCGGAGCTCCGGTACTCCCCCGTGGAAAAAATGGTGTTAGCTATCGTGTGGACCGTCAAGAAGTTGGGCCATTACTTCCAAGCTCGCCTTGATGAGGAGCCCCACTTGCTCCTCCCGAATGGTAAAATGGGCTGTCTTCTTGAGCCAATACAACATCGACATCTGTCCTAGGCCCGCCATCAAGGGCCAAGCCCTAGCGGACTTCGTGACGGAGTGTACGACAAGGGCAGCCACGGACGAGGAGCCCTCGGCCCCTTCGGATGATTGGTGGACCCTCTACACCGACGACTCCTCCGCCATCAAGGCATGTGGAGGAGGGGTGGTTCTCATCTCACCCGAGGGCTTCCGGGCATATTATGCAGTCCGCTTCTCCTTCAAAGTCTCTAACAATGAAGCCGAATACGAGGCCTTCCTCTGTGGCCTTCGGCTGGCAGCTAACATGAAGGCCCGACAAATCCACGTCAAGTGCGACTCCAAGTTAGTCGTCGGCCAAATCTCCGGGGAGTACGAAGCCAAAGAAGGGAGAATGAAGTAATACAAGGAGGCAGCCAAGGAATTGCTTAAGGTATTTGAGGCACACTCTCTAACTCAAATACGGAGGGCTCAAAACTCCGAGGCCGATATTTTATCGAAGCTCTCGGCAGAATCCCCTGAGCACATCTCGAAGATTGCCAAAGTGGAAGAACTCAGCCTCTCCAGCATACATGCTAGCCCTGTCATGAACATACAACAAAGACAGGAGGAATGGATCTCAGACATTGTTGCCTTCATCACCACAGGGAAACTGCCCGAGGATGAGGCCCGCGCCAAACTGGAAAAGCTGAGGGCTCCCAGCTACGTTATCGAGGACGGAAAGCTTTACAAAAGATCCTACAATGGGACATTACTTCGGTTCCTTCATCAAGATGAAGCCAAAGTAGCGATGAAGGAAGTGCACAGTGGGACTTGTTCAGCTCACCAGGGACCCTTCTCCATGTCCCGAAGGCTGATAATCCAGGGCTACTGCTGGCCTACGATGGCCCGGGATTGTGCAAATCTTGCCCGGAGGTGTCCCGCATGCCAACCCTTCCAGAAAGCCCCCGGCAGGCCAGCAGTCAACTATGCCCCCGTCAGCACATCCATACCCTTCGCTCGATGGGGTATAGACCTTGTGGGCCCTCTGCCGAGGGGTACCTCCAACAACAGGTACATCATTGTCGCCATCGATTACTTCACCAAATGGGTGGAAGCAGAGCCCCTCGCCAGCATCACTGAGGCCCGGTGCCGTCACTTTGTTC